AACAAAATACCACAGGTAATCTGAGATGATTAGACCATCAGCAGTTCTATAACCCATTACTGCTCATTCTTCAGCTTGTGTCCATCTGAAACAGCACAGTTATCCATATACAGCAGTGCAGCCGTCTGTCTTCCTGCTTCACTTGATTTCACTCAACAGTCCCCAGAGATTCATTTGCTTCTGCTGGACTTTGTATAAAAGCCAGAGTGACACCTTCAAACACACAGACATCAGTCACATTCAAGGACGCCTCTGTAACACAATGGTTGCTACAACCACTTTATTCTTTTTACTGGGTGTTTTCACATGTAAGTCTATCTGCTGTAGTCAGTTAAACATGAAATTTAAGTGCAGTTCTTGTTGATGATTTGTCATCTATTTCTTGAAATACAAAAACACTCTATTTCCCTCAGGTGTTTATTGTAATGTTGAACTCACCCAGTCAGAGTCCATCACTGTGAATCCTGGAGGATCTCCAACCATCTCCTGTAAAGTCTCTTACTCAGTAACTAGCTATAGCACAGGCTGGATCCGACAGCCTGCAGGGAAAAAACTGGAGTGGATTGGAATAATTTGGAATAATGGGAACACTGACTACAAAGATTCACTGAAAAATAAATTCAGCATCTCCAGAGACACCTCCAGCAGCACAGTGTCCTTACAGGGGAAGAGCCTTCAGACTGAAGACATAGCTGTGTACTACTGTGCACGAGAGCCTCACAGTGAGAGAATGTAATGGTAGAGTGATACAAAAACTCACTTAAACCTAATGTGATGCAGGTTTTATGGGACGTGATTCTGTTTTTTATATTAGTTCTCCTTCCAATATGTGCACAAGATATTAATACTATAAATTAATTAAGATTAATGTCAGTAATTTTCAATATGCATACTGAGAATCTTATTTTTATAGCGAAGCCAAATTCTTTAAATTTGATCATTTTATGTATGATCATTATGTATTTTACTGTTGTTCTGATTATATCTCTTTTCATTAAATGCAATCATTCTGGCCTTTCATGTCACCCAAGATTCATTTTGTATGACTAAATAATATCCACAAACATGATACAAAATCAGTTTGATCTCGGGACAGAGACTGCAAGGCAGCTACAAAGGGGCACAATGCTATTGTGTTTGCTTAGTTCAGCTCAGGGACTGACATAATGTAGTTTGTCTCATTCACTCAACTCATAGCCTTTAGCACTGTACAGTATTATACAGCTATAATTAATTAAGCTGAGTGATTAGTCAGTAAGCTGGAATCATTAGATTAGAACGTTCCATGTTCCTGCCTCAGCTGAAATAGCAATTACATTTCAAAGTAAGACGCTGGCAGTTCTGAATGGCCACTTCTAACTTATTAACTACTGTAAAACAAGCATGCAAATCAATGTAAGAGTCAGAGTAATACATACCCAGAGTAATACATACGCAGAGTAATACATACTCAGAGTAATACATACGCAGCGGTGAGACGGAAGATCACTTTCAACGCGATATCTCCCTTCATGCGTGTTTGCTCTCGGCATTTTCATAAAGGCAACTAAGATGTTTTTTTGTTTAAGTAATATTACTGAATATGCATTTTTTGTCTTCTAAAGTTGATAGATGTGTAATCAATCAAGTAATTTGATTTAAAAAAGCTATGTTAACATTCATTGTTCTTATTAACCCCTTAAAAAGAACTCAGTAAATGTTTAAGTGAAAGAAATAGAAGCTTACCCAGTAACACCACATTCATTACTAATGAGTTACAGTGTGTTTCACTTTATAATATTGTTCTTGTTCTTTAGTAACTCCTATGGAAGAAGTCAATAACACCACATTCATTACTAATGAGTTACAATTAGTTTTATTTAGGTCATTAGTAAGAATTAATTCCATATTTAAAATGCATACATTAATTTCTTAATGTTTAGAAAAGATCAACAATATGTGGT